GTCTTGCTCAAAGCCCCACCTGGTCACATACCCCATGCCTACTTCATCAGTCATGACCCTCTCAGATGTACTTTCTAGAATTGTAAGCCCTTGAAAGGGCTAGGATTTTCTTTGTCGGGGAGCTCGGCTCTTGAGACACAAGTCTGCTGATGCTCCCAGCCGAATAAAGCCACTTCCTTCTTTAAATCTGATGTCTGGGAAGTTTTGTCTGCTACATTTCTTGCTTCCCTGACCGGGAAACAATAAGTGTTGTGGTCAGTGGACAGTCGAGACAACCTCTTAGGCAATTTAATCCTGCCCTTCGAAGCATCCCTGCAGGGGACTCCAGCCCGCTTAGGTGACATGGGTCCTGAGAGTGCTCCCTGGTAGGCACTTGCCTTGGTGGAATGCCTTGTCAGAGCAAAGTGAGGCAGGCCCCTGCAGGGGATCCACAGAGTCTGAACACTGGGAAAGAACTGGCGTTGGGAGTCTAGACGTCAGGACCGGTCTTGGGAACTTGCCCACCCCCTCTGGGTGGAAGCGTGGCCTGATCCCCTACAGTGTGCCAGTACTCTGGATTTGATTTTGTTTCTCTGTAACTGGCTTCAGTACCCTGGACTTGTTTTGGTTTATATGTGGGTAGTAGTAATCTTGCAGTTCTAGCCCCTTACTCCCTCAATCACCTGACTTGGTGCCTACTTATTCTAAGGAAGAGAATGACTTTTTTCCAGGCAGAAGGAGGGCAGGCAATAAAAGAGGGATGGAACCAGTTACTGGACAGAAGGACAGCTGTGCCACAGCTACATGGAACCATCTGCTTAGGCCAAGAATCACTCGAAAAGTTGCTAGGCTGCTATTTCTACCTCTCACATCTATTGGCTCTGGCCAAAACAGTAGCGTAGCGGTGCGTCACTTGCTGACAATACAATACTAGGCAAGGTCCCACCATCCTGCTTGGTATACAAGCTTACGGAGCAGCCCCTTTTGAAGATCTTCAAGTAGACTTCACGGAGATGCCCAAGTGTGGAGGTAACAAGTATTTACTAGTTCTCATGTGTAATACTCTGGGTGGGTAGAGGCTTATCCAACATGAACCGAGAAAGCCTGTTAAGTAACTCATGTGCTTTTCTGAGATCTCATCCCTAGGTATGGACTGCTTGCTATTGTGCATTGGCTAGTGTTTGTTTGTGGCAGATTGGCTTAGAAGACAGCAAAAGTGTTGGGGATCACCTGGAAGCTGCACACCGCCTACTGACCACAGAGTTCTGGAAAGGTGAAGCGTATGAATTGGACTATCAAAAATGGCTTCAGGAAAGTGTGTCAAGAAACAGGATTAAAGTGGATACAAGCACTCCCATGATATTGTTTAAGATGAGATGCACCCCTTCTAAGAAGACAGGGTATTTCGCTTATGAGATACTGTACCATGGACCCCCTCCCATGCTACAGGGACTCTCAGGGACTCCTCGGGGATTAGGTGAGATTGAACTGTAGCAACAGCTACAGGCTTTAGGGAAAATTACCCAAACCATTTCAGCTTGGGTTAATGAAAGATGCCCAGTAAGCTTATTCTTCCCAGTTCACCCTTTCTCACCAGGTGATCACGTATGGATTAAGGACTGGAATGTAGCCTCCCTGAGGCCATGGTGGAAAGGACCCCAGACTATAATCCTGACCACTCCCACAGCCATGAAGGTAGAAAAAAATCCCAGCTTGGATCCACCACAGCCACATAAAAGTTGCAGCAGCTGAGACTTGGAGGTGGAATTGGATCTGGACAACTCCTGTAAAGTGATCCTGTGGAAGACGGCCAGCCCTGCGTCAGCCACACCCTGGAAGCTGGCTGGTCCACACACGAAGCACGAGGAAATTCATCATGGAACTCATTCTCTTTTGAATTTGGACTGATGCAATAAGGACTTTAACTGACTTTGAAGACTGTTCTCAGTGTATACATCAAGTTACTGAGATAGGATAGAAGGTCACCGCAATTCTCTTGTCCTATAGCTATTATGAATGTACAGGAACTCAAAAGTGGACTTGTTTGTATAACGGCATGTACAAGGTGTGTAGTCCAGGGATGGGCAGCCTACTGTCTGTTATGACCCCTTTGAACTCCCCCACCCCCCATGTCTACTGTTTTTGAAATAAGGCTCAGGACAGGCTTTTGGAGTGACCCAAGCAAGGTAATAGCTAGGACAGAGGAAAAAGGAATTCCCAAGCAAATCATCCTGAACTTCGATGGTGTGAAAACAAATATCTACCAAGAAATGTACTGGCGTCAAGAATGTACCTACTGGTCATGTATAGTTTGGGCCATTCTCATTCTTGGAAAATAATGAGAATGACCCCGTCCTCCTTTGGAAGGGAAAAACATAATCCCTCCTGGACACTGTAATCCATTAGGACTAATAATTACTAATCCCTTAAACCCCTGTTGGAAAACAGGGGAGTAGGTTACCTTAGGGATTAATGAGACTGGACTCGACCCACGGGCTAAGATTTGAATTCGAGGGGAAGTCCAAAGGTGCTCCGCCAAACCAGTATACCAAACTTTTTATGATGAGTTAGGAGAGCCAGTGCCAGAACTCCTGAATAAGACAAAGAATTTGTTCCTTCAACCAGTTGAAAATGTAGCCCGTTCTCTTAATGTCACCTCTTCTTATATATGTGGGGGAACTACCATAGGTGACCGATGGCCATGGGAGCCCGGAGAGCTGGTGCCTTCCGATCCTGCTCTTAACATAACCCCAGTTCAGAGTGTCCAGACTGACAACTTCTGGGTCCTAAAGACCTCAATCATTGGACAGTACTGCTTGGCTAGAGAAGCGAAGGACTTCACTGTCCCCGTAGGAAAACTTAGTTGTCTAGGACAAAGGCTGTACAAAGAGATGGCAAGAGCAGTTACCTGGTGGGGTTCAAACTACACCGAAAGGAACCCACTCCAGAAATTCCCCAGTTGCAAGCTGCAAGGGCCTATCCTGAATTCTATCTGAATACTGGATATGTGGGCGTAGAGCCTATGCCAAGTTACCTGACAGATGTACAGGCAGCTGCGTCATTGGCACCATTAAGCCATCCTTCTTCCTGTTGCTGGTGAGGACAGGTGAATTATTAGGCTACCCTGTATAAGGGCTTCCCAAGAAATGAGGAGCCTGGCCATAGGTAATTAGAAGGATGACGAGTGGCCCCCTGAAAGAATCATACAGTACTATGGGCCTGCCACATGGGCACAACATGGCTCCTGGGGCTATCGGACCCCCATTTATATACTTAATTGGATCATCCAATTGCAGGTTGTCATAGAAATAATCACTAATGAAACTGGCAAGGCCTTGACTCTTTTAGCCCGGCAAGAGACCCAAAGTAGAAATGCCATGTATCAGAACAGTTGACCTGTTCTGATAGATGGCATTTCTCCTTTGGGTAGTGCTGGCAGCTGAAGGAGTGGTTTGTGGAAAGTTCAATCTGACCAACTACTGTCTGCATATAGACAAGCAGGGTCCGGTAGTTGAAAACATGGCAAGAGATGCATCAAAACTGGCATGCGTGCCTCTGCAGGTTTGGCATGGGTCTGATCCAGAATCTATATTTGGGAAATGGTTCCGAGCTTTAGCAAGATTTAAAACAGCACACCCTCATCATAGGTGTACTGCTGGTAACAGGCACTTGCTTACTACTCCCCTGCTTGCTACCCTTGCTTCTCCAAATGATTAGAGGGTTTGTTACCACTGTAGTTCACCAGAAGACTTCATTGCAAGTGTACTACTTGAATCACTATCGACTGGTTTCACAGAACCTAGAACGTGAAGGTGAGGGTGAGAATTCCCACTAGTAAGTGAGGTTCTCAAAGCGGGGAAATGAGAGAAGAGATCCCTCTTTCCTGTTTCTTGTCTCAAAGGAGGAGGAAGTAAAAGTTGAGACACAGCAGGGATGAGGTCAGTGGCAAGGTCAGCTGGTGCTGCTGACCTGGCCTGGAGGTTAAAGATTAAACCCCTCACCCTTAATTGCACTCCTATCTATAGATCACAGGCTGATATGGAGAAACGCCCTCTGGGAAGCATTGTTCTTGCTCAATCTACTTCATGGATCAGGACCCTCTCACATGTACTTTCTAGGATTGTAAGCCTTTAAAAGGGCTAGGATTTTCTTTGTCGGGGAGCTTGGTTCTTGAGATTCAAGTCCATTGATACTCCCAGCCAAATAAAGCCACTTCCTTCTTCAAATCTGGTGTCCTGGAGGTTTCGTTTGTGGCTTGTCCTGCTACAGCAGAGGTAGGTAGCAGTGAACCAAGATTTGTGCCACCGCATTTCAGCCTGGGCAACAGAGTGCGACATGGTCCTCGAAAAAAAAAAAAAAAAAAAAAAAGAAGAAGAAGAAATCAGGTTTAGAGATGAGGATAAGGAAGATGAATGGTGGTGGCGTGAGGGAACTAACAGCTACTTGTTGTCATGACAAAAAGGAACTATTCAGAACTAGCACCCACAATTCTACTTGCTCAGGGCCACTGACCTTATAGAGATCCCAGACATATTCTTGTTCAGCTTTAAAGTGCTTAAAGTCCAATCTTTCCACTGGCTTGGATCTTTCCCACTTTCTGTGGCCAACTCTGAGGTTGTCAAGTTCTTCTATAAATAAATCTGTTACAAGCTATTAGTCTGGGAGTTTTGTAATGTCTTAATTAATGCCAATGTAGTATTTGATTATTTATGGTAGGAGTGGTTAGGTGTGGGGAATCTGATAATAGCTAGTAGGACAGATAGATTCTTCTTCTTCTTTTTTTTTTTTTTGAAATGACAGGGTCTCATTTTGTCTCCTGGGATTGATGGAGTGAAGTGGAGTGAACGTGGCTCACTGCAGCCTTGACCTCCTGTGCTCAAGTGGTTTTTCCCGCCTCAACTCCTCAAGTAGCTGGGACTACAGGCACATGCCACCATGCCCAGCTGATTTTTGTATTATTTTTTGGTAGAGATGGGGTTTTACCATGTTGCCCAGGCTGGTCTCGAACTCCTGGGCTCAAGTGATCCACCAGCCTTGGCCTACCAAAGTGCTGGGATTACAGATGTGAGCCACTGTGCCTGGCCTAGATGCTTTCATACAAGCTTTTCAATTATGCATTTTCCTTAAGTAGGAAGTCTTAGGATCCAAGTTATATCTGATTGCTGTAGTCTACGTTCCCATATTCTATCCCTATTTCTGATTTTTCAGTCATGAACTACCACATCAAGGAACTCATCCTGGGCTTTGTTACATGGCTGAGTTGGCTGGACGAGGGCAAGGTCTGATCCTGGAACTGTGGCATGTGATGACATACACCCCCCTCCACATTCTGTATGTCTCTAGTGGGGAGGGGGAAGCTGGCCATAGAACTTGATTGTATTTTCGGATTGCCTCACTTTAATCGCCCCCCGGGCACTCCTTTGTTCCTAAAGTAACCAAAGACAGTGCTTCCTCGAACCAACCTTACAGGAAACAAAGGGATAAACAAAGCCAAATGGGAAGCAAGATCATTCTTTGAACTCTTTCTGGGCAGAGAACAATACCTGGTATGGACTAGATACTGGGGGAGGAAAAGGAAAAGTAAGGTGAATTTTGGAAGGAAGCTGGCAGGCTCAGCGTTTCTGTCTTGGCATGATCAATCTCTTTTCATTCTCTTCCTAGATGTAGGGCTTGGTTCCAGAGCCCCTGAGGCTTTCTGCATGAATATAAAGAGGTGAAACTGAGTGATGCTTTCATTTCAGGTTCTTGGGGACAGCCAAAATGATGTCCTTTGTCCCTCTGCTCCTGGTGGGCATCCTGTTCCCTGCCATCCCTGCCAAGCAATTTACAAAATGTGAGCTGTCCCAGGAGCTGAAAGCCTTGGATGGTTATAGAGGCATCTCTTTGCCTGAATGTGAGTTCCCTGCTCCCTTGTTTCATCCGTTCCTCGTGTGTTTCTCTCCTCCATCCCCTCCTTCCTCCACTTTCACTTAATTATTGAATCATCTTTTCTGCTCATTTGCATGCTCTTTTATTTCATGTATTTATTTATGATTTTTTATTTTTTTTTGAGATGGAGTTTCACTCTTGTTGCCAGGCTGAAGTGCAGTGGTGTAATCTCAGCTCACGCAACCTCTGCCTCCAGGGTTCAAGTGATTGTCCTGCCTCAGCCTCCTGAGTAGCTGGAATTACAGGTGCCCACCACCATGCCTGGCTAATTTTGTATTTTTCGTAGAGATGGGGTTTCACCACGTTAGCCAGGCTGGTCTCAAACTTCTGACCTCAGGCGATCTGCCCTCCTCGGCCTCCCTAAGTGCTGGAATTACCGGCGTGAGCCTTCGCACCCAGGCCCTTTTATTTTCCCATGCTTTCTTTCTCTTATTGTCTGGTTTTTTTTTTTTTTGGAACTCTCCGTCTCATCTCATCAAGGTACTCTGAGCTTTGCCATCTTTGGAGATTGACTGGAAAGCATTTTTATGTCTGAGAACGACAGTTCCTCCTTTATGCGGGTCACGGACATCTCTGTGATATCTCTTTCTCATCTTTCCCTCAGTCATCTGTACCATGTTTCACACCAGTGGTTATGATACACAAGCCATGGTTGTAAACAAGGGCAGCACGGAATATGGACTCTTCCAGATCAGTAATAAGCATTGGTGCAAGAGCAACCAGGTCCCTCAGTCAAGGAATATCTGTGACATCTCCTGTGACAGTGAGTAGCCCCTATAACCCTGTTTCTCTGTTTTTCTGAGGGCTGCCCCTGGGATAATCTCCTTTTTAGTGTCAAGCAGACCTCAGGCTTCATTGCCTTGCCTGGGCTCTACAAAAATTGTGGGACTTAAATTGGCAGTACTGAGTAAGAAGTAAGAAGTAAGTAATCTGGATTTTTCATGGTCGCCAAATCCCCAGACAGTTCTCTGAGGTTTGTAGGTAGACAATTTGAGCTGTCTGAGAGTCTTGGGGTATGATTCTCTGCATTTTCAGGATAAGTCAGTGGATGAAGCTGATGATTCCTTCAGAGATATCCTAGGGAAATTAAGGAAGTCCCTTACCCAGGGTTAGACATTACCATATTGGTCCTTTCGTATAGAAAGACAACAGGCACAAGCCTTGAGTTTAGAGAACCCACTGGATCCAGGGATTAGAGGAACTCATTGCCTTTCTGGGTAATACTTCTCAGCTCTCTCATTCCTTTCCCTGTAACTCCTGCCAGAGTTCCTGGATGATGACATTACTGATGACATAATGTGTGCCAAGAAGATCCTGGACATGAAAGGAATTGACTACTGGTGAATCCGTATTCTATTTGCTGTTTCCCATCCTCCTTCCCCTGCCCCCGTTAGCACAGCACCACTCTCCTCTCACTCTATCTCCTGGTCATTTAATCTAGAATATAGTCTCCAAAACAAAACTTACCTAGAGACTCAGGTTTCCATGTTTAAATCTCCCTGACTCCACTCCTTGGTAGTAACTCTCCTACAAAGGGGTTGCCCGATGGAGGGCTCAGACCCAGGTCTCCTTCCACCTAGACTTGGACATCTAATTCCACTCGTTCAGTTCTATGCCCTAAAGTAAGCCGCTGGTATCACTGCATATCTTCTCTAACCCTACAATTTTCTTGGATTATTTTTTATGAACTGTATCCCACTTGACGGCTTGTGTCCCTAGCCATAAGGCCAGGAGTGTCTCTCCGTAATTCTCATCCACGCTCTTCCACTTCAGCCCTCCTGGGAATAAATCTAGGTGGAAATTCAAGCCAAGATCCAGTCCGCTAACTCACCTTGTCCCCTTCTTCATTATCAGGTTGGCCCATAAAGCCCTCTGCAGTGACAACCTGGAACAGTGGCTTTGTGAGAAGTTGTGAGCGTCTGCTGTCCTTGCCAGTCCTGCCCGGTCCACGCTCCTGGAATGCCTCTTCCCTAATGCTACCTCAGCTTGCTTCTTTCTCTTCCCCTAAGCTTATCTGACTCTGAGGCTTGGGCCCTGTAGTGACACCACTGAACTCTTGAGGACTGTTTTCCAGGGATGCCTGAGTGGTGCACTGAGCTCTAGACCCTTGCTCAGTGTCCCAGATGACACTTTCACTACAGCACAGATCTCACCTCTGTCTTAAATAAAGGGCCCAATTTGGAGTCACTGGCTGTATTTTTTTTCCCCTGGAGGGAAGGGGAAGAAATAGGGTGAGTGGGTGGACTCTGAAGCCATAGGTCATAGCCACATTCCATCTCTACTGAAGAAGAAGAAGGCTGAATTTACAATAGAAAGGCGAAGGTTACTTCCTATACCAATTCAATGCAACGAACTTTTATTGATCACCTAATCTATTCAAGGAACTGTTGAGAGATCCAAAGTTGACTGAACACTGGTCAGGCACAGTGCTAATGCCAGTAATTCCAGCACTTTGGGAGGCTGAGGTGAACAGATCACTTGAGGTCAGGGGTTCGAGACCAGTCTGGCCAACATGGTCAAACCCCATCTCTACCCAAAATACAAAAATTAGTTGGGTGTGGTGGCAGGCACCTGTAATTCCAGATACTCGGGAGACTGAGACAGGAGAAGAATTGTTTGAACCTGGGAGGTGGAGGTTGCAGTGAGCCGAGATCGCGCCATTGCACTCCAGCCTGGGCGCTCCATCTCAAAACAAACAAAACCCCCAAAACATGAATTTGGCTGAATGGCCTCTTTCCTCAAGGACTGATGGGAGAGACAAGATAAACATTAATAAATAGTTATACTGTAAGAAAGAGAGTTATAAGCATCATGAGAAAGGTCAGAAATGTGCCCTGGGCATTCACAAAAGAAAAGATCATTTATATTTGGAGGAGATGTTGGGAAAAGGAATCAGGAAAGGATTCCTGAAAGGGAGAGCGTTTAGGCTGATTTCAAAATTGTGTGGGATTTTGACAAGGGGAGATGTGGGGTGGGAAAAGGGAGACCATAGGTGGGAACCCAAGAATCTATAATGGGTGACTTGAGGGGTTGAGGGTTTTCTTTACCCTTCATGAGGAGTTGTGAAAGGAACTCTCCCTGTCTCTGGAAACCAGAGACAGAACAGGGGCCCTGACAATCAGCTCAGTGATGCTGAAGAATCTGAGAACTTGGGGCCTTTGGGTTTGGACCCTCCACTTTATTATTTCTTCTTGCGCTTTGCTTGCTTTTAAGGAGAATGTTTGGAGGACTTCATTCATTTTAATAATTATGGGATATGTGAAAGAAGAAGAGTCAGGAAATTTGGGTCCTAAAATCTGTTTCTGCTACTCATTGATGGTCTGATCCTGGGCAGGTCATCTCCATTCTCTGTGCCTCAGTTTCCTAATCTTAAAATGAGGGTTTTGGTTTAAATAGTTTTCTGAGATCAATTCCTGCCTTAAAATCCGGCTTTCCAAACTACAATTTAATTTGCCACACTCTGAAGGAACTGAGAATGACATTCACCTTGTTGCTCAGCTCCACGGCCCTGGCCTTCATCCCACAGAGAAGACAGGAAGTTCACCTGTGAGGAGAAGTGCACCATATATGAGTTCACGATCTTCAGGAGCCTTGCTGAAGGAACCGACAATAACAGATTTAACTGTAGAGAGAACCTTAGCCTGAGGTCCGAAGATCAAGAGCAGATAGAAGCCAGGGAACTGATATGAAAGAGGTCTTTTTCTTTTTTTAAAGTATTCATTTGTTACAGGGCGTTATGATACAAATGTTTATAGATGCTTACTCTGTACTAGTACTACAGAGCAATTTTTGTGCGTTTCTACTCTGTTTAATTTTAGCGTGTTGAATTGTAAAATAATCAGTGTATTAAATCAAATAAACAAACAAAATGCCATGTTCTTTGGTACAAGCAACACTACAAAAGGCATTTGGGGTCTGCATTTGGAATTCTCAGGCAAATTCTCTCGTTCCTAACCTGTACTTATTTTCCCCTCATTGGCTTATATATATTTTTTTCTTCTTTTTTTTGAGATGAAGTTTCACCCTTGTTGCCCAGGCTGGAGTGCAATGGCATAATCTCGGCTCACTGCGAACTTTGCCTCCTGGGTTCATGCGATTCTCCTGCCTCAGCCTCTGGAGTAGTTGGGATTACAGGCGTGTGCCATCGTGCCTGGCTAACTTTTGTATTTTTAGTAGACACTGGGTTTCACCATGTTGGTCAGGCTTGTCTCGAACTCCTGACCTCAAGTCATTCACCCATCTCGGCCTCCCGAGGTGCTGGTATTACAGGTGTGAGCCACCGTGCCCAGCCTCTACATTTTTTTTATGTCAATGTTTAATGTAGTGTTCACTGAACTATGAATTCTTTTGAGAAAATAAATCAATAAATCTATACGTTGCCTCCTTTATCCAGTGAGGTATGGCCAGATCATCTTTATGACATATACATCAGCAGTATTCTTCATCTCCTCTTCCTCCTCTTTTACAAATAAAAATCGTATATGTTGAAGGTGTACAACTTGATGTTTTCTTGTGTGTACACACTTAAATGACCACCACAAGCAAGCGAATGAACATATCATCACCTCATATGGTTACTTTTCTTTTTCTTTTGGCATGGAAGCAGACTTGATACATAGATGCAGTTCTCTTGGCATTTGGGTAGAAGCAGGATAGGAAACTGCTGTTCTCTTCCTGAGAACTTTCTTGAGAGCCGAATAGAAGGCAGCATGGCTGCTGAGCATCTGTTCTGCTTTCTCCACCTCCTCTTTCCTTTAGGCCTAACATGAAGCTCTAAGCCAGGCAGAGGTCTGAGGTCATCCCGGCTAATGTGGGGGGTGGGGAGGCTCCAGGGAGTGGCTCTCAGAGAGCAGACCATTACTGAACTCTGCGTGAGAAAGACTCCCGGTGGTGCACAGCATAGCAGTTTCGTCCCCTCCTCTTACTCTGCTTTCTCCTCCCTGCTGCTTTTCCCTGATACCTATCTTGTTATGAAGGCAGGAATTGTATCAGATAAAATCTTTCTTTCTTTCTTTTTTTTTGAGACCGAGTCTTGCTCTGTTGCCCAGGTTGGAGTGCTGCGGCATGAACTTGGCTCACCGCAACCTCCGCCCCCCTATTTCAAGCCATTGTCCTGCCTCAGCCTCCTGAATAGCTGGGATTACAGGCATGTGCCTCTACGCCCAGCTAACTTTTATATTTTTCGTAGAGATGGGCTTTCATCATGATCATGTTGGCCAGGCTGGTCTTGAACTCCTGACCTCAAGTGATCCTCCCACTTCAGCCTCCCAAACTGCTGGGATTATAGGTGTGAGCCACGACACCCGGCCTCAAAGAGTTATTTCATGTTTCTTCTCCCAGTCCTTTTCTCTCTCATCCATTCACTTTTTTCATGTATTGAACACTAGTTGAGAGCCTATTAGGCGACAGGAGGTACTAGACCCAGGGACACCGAAGTTATCAGAGGTTTTGCTCTTAAGACCCTTCTACTTTAGAGGGAGATACTCACCTCCTCCCATTTCTTGGGATCATGCAAAAGAAAAGACTTCAGGTGATCCACATTCATTTTTTCCTTCACCCCTTGATTTGTCACCAAAAGGTTATTGAGGATATGCTGTTTTCTAGGCACTACTTTATTTATTCGTTTATTTAGACATGGGGTCTCACAACGTTGCCCTGTCTAGAGGGCAGTGGCTGTCCACAGTGTGAGCACAGCACACTACAGACTCAAACTCCTGAGTTTAAGTGATCCTCCTGCTTCAGTCTCTCAAGGAGCTGGGACTGCAGGATGTACCCCACACCTAGGCTCTACTTTAGCTGCTACTTGTTAAGGATGAAGACAGGAGGAGACACTCTTATTTTAGCTGATTTGTTTCTAAGTTGTTATGGGATGTAGATCTTTCCAGGGACCTTTTGGCATGAGAACAAAAGAGGAGTTAGGTCACAGTGCCAAGATGGGACTAGCCCAGAATCCAGCAGGACATTTGCTAGTGGTCTGATAGGTTGATTTACCTTTTGTGCACAGACATAAGTAAAAGGGAGAGGGAGAGGCAGGAAGAAGAGAGGCAAAAAAAGGCAAGAAATGAGAGGAAAAAGCAGTAGCTATAGAAATGGCCATTGATGCCCCGAGGATTTTCTTGACTGGGCCCCCTGTGATGGGTGCTTCCTGCTCTGTGACAGTTTTCTCATTGCCCTTGGCTGGGAGCAGGGCATTGGAGTAACAGAAACGAAGGTCTCTGTTTTGGAAAGAGATGAATGCTGAGACAGCCAAGTGGAGATAGCTCTTCCTCCCTCCTATTCTCCCCATAACTTTTTCTCCTGCTGAGGCAGGGGTGCTGGACTACAAAGGAAGTCTGGGCTTCCTGGCCAGTATCTTCCTCAGAGCCACCTTTACCTCTTGGTTCTTCAGACTGTAGATGAGAGGGTTCAGCAGGGGGGTTATCACACTGTATTGCACAGAGAGTACTTGTTCTAGGGCTGAGCCAGACGCTGGAGTCATATACCTTGAAGGGAATTGCACAGAAAAGCAGTTTATGACAATGGTGACAATGCTTACTTTTGGCAGCAACAATCCATCCCCTCCCTGCAAAGACTCTGCAAAGGGGGTCTTCAGAGCTGAGCTGACGTTCTCTGGTGGCAGCATCTAGAAATGGCTGATCTGTGAAAAGTCAGTCATTTCTGCCTTCAAATGCTTCCAAACATGAGTGAGCTCACACAGAAAGTTATAGAAGCTGCTCTGAGGAACAAGCAGTTCTACAGCACATCAAGGGCTGCAGGTTAGAACAGAATTAATATTCGGGACAGATAAAAAGTAAAACAAAAAAATAAAATAAATAAAATGAATGATAATTTCATACATTTCCATAGCATTTCATACTCTTCAAAGCATTCTTTCTTAATAGCTATGATGATCATAAGAGGAGTTTTTCTCTTTATTATTATTATTATTTTTGAGACAGAGTCTCACTCTGTTGCCAGGGGCCAGGCTGGAGTGCAGTGGTCCGATCTTGGCTCACTGCAACCTCTGCCTCCCAGGTTCAAGCAATTCTCCTGCCTCAGCCTCCTGAGTAGCTGGGACTACAGGCGCACACCACCACGCCCAGCTAAATTTTGTATTTTTAGTGGAGACGGCATTTCACCATGTTGGCCAGGATGGTCTCGATCTCTTGACCTCGTGTTCCGCCCGCCCCGGCCTCCCAAAGTGCTGGGATTACAGGCATGAGTCACCGCGCCCGGCCGAGTTTTTCTCTTTATATACAACAGTACAGAAACACAATGTTCTCATCTTGTGATGACTGTTTGTGTAACACTGTGTGATTAGTTCAAAATGTTGTCATGATTCCCAACTTTTAGGGCCCTGGGAATTACCCTCAGAATCCTTGCATATTATTTGTATAAAGTTTAGTGGAACAAACATTTGTCCTTTTAGTTGCATTTTTTTTTGGTTAAAAAAAGAAGCCCAAACTGATAAAATGGGAGAGAAAAGGTGTTAGGCATATAATATAATTCCAAAATAATAAGATTAAAGTACTGGGTGCATTTTGCTAAGTACTACTGGGAGTA